TCTGTCTACAGACAGCAGACTACTGTGGATATTGTCTGTAAGTCACGTGCCTAGCCCCATCTGTCTACAGACAGCAGACTACAGTGGATATTGTCTGTAAGTCACAGGCCTAGCCCCATCTGTCTACAGTCAGCAGACCACAGCGGATATTGTCTGTAAGTCACAGGCCTAGCCCCATCTGTCTACAGTCAGCAGACCACAGTTGATATTGTCTGTAAGTCACGGGCCTAGCCCCATCTGTCTACAGTCAGCAGACCACAGTGGATATTGTCTGTAAGTCACAGGCCTAGCCCCATCTGTCTGCAGTCAGCAGATCACAGTGGATATTGTCTCACGAGCGCTTCATCCAGGACCCAATCCGATCATGCGCAAGGATCATGAACGATGTTACTTTAAATTGGATTATAGAATGGAAGAAGGCTTTCTATAAATCATCTTTTATTCGATACAGTTTCGTGTATGACTGAAATGCCTTTCTATTCTCAACTTTGATGAGAGCATAAGAATAGTTAATATGCTGGGGAAACCATGCAGCGGGAAATTAATCAAGGTATAGAAAACAGGCAATGGTTTCACTGGGAATGTGAGGTTTGAAAGAAGCTCAGTGTGCTGGCCTAAATACTTTCAGGGCACATGATGAAAAAAAGGCGCCATCGTGCTATATTGCAGCCAAATGTAACAACAAGTCTATTTGTTTACAGCAAAAGCAACTGCTTCTTGATTAAAATAGGAAATTCTTGAAAATAGCATTTCATCTTCAAAGGAGTTTTGGACAGCCCTGAAGGACAAAATTTGAAAAGAAATGGAAATGACATAGCTATAAATACATGTAAATGTTAATGTGGTTACGGTTAGGTATGGAACAATCAATGCGTACCAAAAATCCATCTTCCCGAGGCAAGAGAGTTAACTGACTATAAAAGTCAAGTTTCCACCCTTGACGAACTGGGCTGGTATTATGAAGTTACATTTAGGCTGGACTAACGAGGTGGCTGTCGTAATGCAGGAGGAGGTGACTATCTTAATGCATGAGGAAACGGGTGAGGTGACTATCTTAATGCATGAGGAAACGGGTGAGGTGACTATCTTAATGCATGAGGAAACGGGTGAGGTGACTATCTTAATGCATGAGGAAACGGGTGAGGTGACTATCTTAATGCATGAGGAAACGGGTGAGGTGTCTTTCTTAATGCATGCGGAAACGGGTAAGGTGTCTATCTTAATGTATGAGGAAACGGGTGAGATGACTATCTTAATGCATGAGGAAACGGGTAAGGTGTCTATCTTAATGCATGAGGAAACGGGTGAGATGACTATCTTAATGCATGAGGAAACGGGTAAGGTGAATATCTTAATGCATGAGGAAACGGGTGAGATGACTATCTTAATGCATGAGGAAACGGGTAAGGTGAATATCGTAATGGATGAAGAAACGGGTGAGGTGGCTTTCTTAATGCATGAGGAAACGGGTGAGGTGACTATCTTAATGCATGAGAAACGGGTGAGGTTACTGTCGTAATGCATGAGGAAACGGGTGAGGTGGCTATCTTAATGCATGAAGAAACGGGTGAGGTGCCTATCTTAATGCATGAAGAAACGGGTGAGGTGACTTTCTTAATGCATGAGGAAACGGGTGAGGTGACTATCTTAATGCATGAGGAAACGGGTAAGGTGACTTTCTTAATGCATGAGGAAACGGGTGAGGTGGCTATCTTAATGCATGAGGAAACGGGTAAGGTGACTTTCTTAATGCATGAGGAAACGGGTAAGGTGACTGTCGTAATGCATGAGGAAACGGGTGAGGTGACTTTCTTAATGCATGAGGAAACGGGTAAGGTGACTGTCTTAATGCATGAGAAACGGGTGAGGTGACTATCTTAATGCATGAGGAAACGGGTGAGGTGACTATCTTAATGCATGAGGAAACGGGTGAGGTGACTATCTTAATGCATGAGGAAACGGGTGAGGTGACTATCTTAATGCATGAGGAAACGGGTGAGGTGACTATCTTAATGCATGAGGAAACGGGTGAGGTGACTATCTTAATGCATGAGGGAACGGGTGAGGTGGCTTTCTTAATGCATGAGGAAACGGGTGAGGTGACTGTCGTAATGCATGAGGAAACAGGTGAGGTGGCTATCTTAATGCATGAGGAAACGGGTGAGGTGACTATCTTAATGCATGAGGAAACGGGTAAGGTGGCTTTCTTAATGCATGAGGAAACGGGTGAGGTGACTGTCGTAATGCATGAGGGAACGGGTAAGGTGACTATCCTTATGCATGAGGAAGCGGGTGAGGTGACTATCTTAATGCATGAGGAAACGGGTAAGGTGACTGTCGTAATGCATTAGGAAACGGGTGAGGTGGTTTCCTAATGCATGAGGAAACGGGTGAGGTGGCTTTCTTAATGCATGAGGAAACGGGTGAGGTGACTATCTTAATGCATGATGAAACGGGTGAGGTGGCTTTCTTAATGCATGAGGAAACGGGTGAGGTGACTATCGTAATGCATGAGGAAACGCGTGAGGTGACTGTCCTTTTTCATGTCATATGCGTGAATAGCTTCCATATTGCTGATTAAGCGTAAAGATATAATCTCTCACGAACTGCTCAGAAACACTCCTGTAATATAGTCAATCAAGACACATCTACAGTGTAATTTCCGACCCCGAGGATGTATATTCCGGTTCCCCGTGACTGTGGCCACCAGTACATTGGAGAAACTCTCAGACCCCTCAACACAAGACTTAAAGAACATCAGACCTCCGTCAACAAACTAGGCCAGAAATCCACTATTTCCGAACGCATCCTCAAGAACCAAGACAATAACATCATGTGCGAAGTCACCAAAGTTCTGTCTACCAACAACAACAACAACTGTCGACAAAAAAACCTGCAAGAAGCCATTGACATCAGAAGACACCAGCCAGCCAGCAACCGTGACCAGGGAACATACCTGCCAAGTGCTTGGGACTTATTGCTTTGATCTTTGTCAGTGCCAGTTATCTAGCTGGCCTCTATTTGCCATTGCTATTTCAGCCTCAGTCACACAGACAATGCGACCGCGATGCAACCTCCTTGCGACCAAAATATTTGACAATCGCAATGAGGTTCAAGGGGTCTCTGAAAGATTTTACTGAGGTCGCTATAAGGTTTCAGAGCGGTCGCAAAACCCATTCAGTCGCAACCAGTCTTTTGAACATGCACAAAAGACTGGCTGCGATCGATGTGGTCGCTCGGAGGTTTCATTGGTCTCCTAGGGGTCACTTGGTGTTATTTCAATCCCAGATTGCTTTCCCCCTGTGGCGATCGGTTTCGCCTACTCGTCGACTCTTTGCAACCAAGTGGCAACCTATCGGTGATTGATCCGTGATGAGGCGGTGATGAAACGGCGCTTCATCGATGACAACTTGCAAAGAAATGATTTGATTCAGAAAAAGCACCTTTTATATGCATTATGTTCTGATCGGTGATAGGTTGCATCGCGTTCGCGTCGTCTGTGTGACTGTAGCATTCCATTGTCTGTTGCTGATCGTCGTCAGTTATCTGTTGGCTTCCCTTGCTACTTGTCCACCTTTTGTGATCTTATTACTTTTGTTCTTACGTGAAAAAATATTCTCTCGGCCTCATATCATTCATTCACCTGATGAAGGAGTAAGCATATACGCCGAAACGTTATGTTCCTCAAAATAAAGAATTGACATGCATAAATTCTCTTCCTCATCACTTATAAATGCCTTTCAAAACCTAACACACTGATTGCACGATATCGCCATAATCGTGAAACTGTCAAGAGCAATTAATTTATATAGTGTCAGTGTTGATTTCCTTCGACTGCTGTACAATGTATCAAATTCAGTGCTGAAAAATAGTATGCGAATATTTCATTAGGCATGATAATAGAACACAATTGAATTTTATTCTCTCAACTTTGAATATTCCTTCCCTACCCGCCACTGAACAGACAGAAATGTTTTAGGCTAACGCCCAATGTTGACAAATCACGTCTTCTACTGGAGTATTTTCCTTTGAGAATTGTTTGTTTTGTTACTTGAGTGTCGTGTCGTGTCGTGTCAGTTTCTTAGAAATTGTATTCTAATTGTTTTAAAGTGAACCATGTTATCGCCGTGTGAATTTATATCCAGTCTCAACTGACCTAATCGTTAGCGGAATAAGAAAATGAAATCGGACTATTCTTACACAAATGTATGTAAAGTCTTGTCAATTGTTCGTGTCAAACTATCAAATACATGCATATGCAATGAATGGCAAGACAAAGGGCTTTGTCGGTACATAAAGGTGCATTCTACTGATGAGTGATATGTAACAGTGCCGAATAAGACCAAATGCATGCCGCTTGGTTGAATATTTGTTAATTTCATATACTAATGTTACAATGTTGCAGAAGATCCAACTCAGTGCACGCAAGACAGTAAAGCAGCTGTTATATTCTGGTTAGTCATTTAATTTACTTAAAAATTTGTTTGTCACTCATCTTTAGTCTTTTATATTTATATTCAAAGCTTGCTGGATCTATTTATAATGGAAAACAGCTTTATGATATATTTAACAATGGTCAACTGTTTATGACAATAATATGTCGAAAAAAGATCGATACCATCATTAATCAAACCACCAACACATTTCTCCACTTGCTGTTCAATTGTTTATCTTAAAATTGTATATATTATTTTTTAATTATAAATGCAAAAATGGTTTTCACACTGGGAATTTCCCTGAATGGTCGATAACGTTATTTGAAAACCACCAATTTATGGCACCCCCGTCTAATAAGAGATGACTGATTTAGCTAAGATTTGTGTCGTAAGTGAGATAACTTTGGGACAGAGTCAAGTATAGCTCTAATGGCAGTCGTAACAAGCTAACATTTGTCTCTGATTCACATTTAGGAAATCATGATGACATTAAATCATCAATCTAATTCCTTTGTTGCTTGTATAGTTGGGCATAAATCCATAATCAAGTGAAGACAGACATTGTTTTGCTGCAATATCAGTTTATTTTTATGGAATTAAGATGGAGTTCAGCATCCGGTGCAAATGTGGAGACGCCCCCCTGAAATATAGAAAACTTAATTATAATAAATACTAGCCTCACTGTTGTGCTGCAATGATGACGACAAACAGATTATATATAAACAACTTCTATAATTGACGTTCTCGATGAGTCACAGATTGCTACACAAATATTTGAAGAGGCACAAGGAACCCAGAATCTTTCCAGAAATGGAAAAAAATAAATATAATGAGAATGTTGAATCTTTCTCAAGTGGGTTACGAACGTTGCACCTTCGGATTGTGAAGCCGCTGATTTTACTGTTAATGTTAGTTATAGCCACACAGTGAATCGGCCACAACACTTAAAGTTTTGTTTGTAAAACTCCTTGAGTCAATATCTACCCTAGTTATCAACTTAGCAATATATCATCTGCCCAAAAGACTTAAAGAATAAAACAGTTTGCGCTTTTCAAACTAACCGAATCCTATTCAGTCTGTATATTGAGTTAAATAAGCAGTATTCACGCACTACCCAAATGATACATTAAACTCGAATGGTTACCGATCCAGCTCTATCTCTCCAACCACGACAGCAATATTTGAACCGTGCGTTGCATTCGCTTGCGAACTTATGAAATAAATTAGAAACGAAAACTACTCCCCGTAGGGATCAACAGTTAAATTAACTGACACAGCCATACATGCCACCACGACACAAGTGTTCAAGCCCTTAATTTTAATATATTTTCGAGCCCTTAATACTAGTATGCAGCCTCGCGCTCAATATCGTAATCAAGGTTGACTCTTCAATGTGTTTGCCTCTTGTTGCTGAAGTTATGTTATGAATTAAGCTACACGAGGAAAGATATTCAAAAAGTAATGAAAACATACCTCAAAACTTACTTGTTCACAAATTCACATTTTAATCAAACTTGTTCTTATGCATTTTGCATCGGCTGTTGTTGGTAACCTGCTGACTGTAATGCCATGTAACTGATGATGTTATGGATCTATGTTAAACTTGACTGTGATGGAGACGCTCGAAATCATGTGACGGTAATAAGATTTCGGCTGATCGACGCGTCTCGCTCAGCGAGACATTATCAACATAAAATAAACAAGACAAAGTCATTTGACCCATCTAAGTGCTAACAGAAATAAATATTCTCAAAGTTAAGACTTAATTTTAGTGTATTAGGATTGTTGCAAGTCACGAAATCACACAATTTATTAGGGGCTCAAAAAACCATAACATGAAGATACAATTATAATTCGTGTTTAGCATGACACTATTGCAGCCGTCTGAATGTTTGATTTGATACAATGATACAAGAATTTCTAGATAATGGTTTGAATCAGAAACGTGTTCCATCCGATTGAAGAAGGAATGATGGCCACCAATTATGTGAACCTTACGAAAAGTTTATCCAAGGCTTACCTGTATTAACCTGAACAGCAGGTATACGAGCCCACATACTCTGCAACAAGAAGATTGTCACATTCCTCGACCAGCGTTCCAGTATCACACAGTGAACCCACTAGGTCGTTGCGCACACATCGTTGCGTACAAGCGGTTACTGTGAATCAACAAAAGAAACAGGTCATTACAAGTTAACAATGACCACTCCAACTGTAAAAAAGTGTTACGTCTCATGGGAACTATAAATACCAGTCTACAATTTTAGATAAGTGGAATAAAATAGAAAATGAGTATGATATCAGATCGCTGTACATTAAACAAATCCAAATGAGCTGTCCTTTATTCTATAGTTTTAAGAACAGGAACTGTCTTTTTGAACAATGCCTCATCTTCACAAGACAAGATAGTAAACTGCCTTTGAAAGTCCAGTTTCCACCCTTGCCGAACTGGTCGGAAATTATGGAGTTACATGTTGGCTTGACGAACGAGTCTATGCTTAATCCAATCAAAATCGCGGAACGAAATAGATATTGGTAACGTGGCGACTGCCGTGCAGATTTCGGGCGATTGCAGGATTTGCCGAACATGTGTACTGTCAGCTGGGCGTCGACAGATGTTTTTCAAATGTTTCCATATATTAAATCAAGGTGCCCAAGTGATTTGATGTACCTCGCGAGGTGAGACACATTTTAGTACAATAAAGATCTTGGTTATCGATCAGATCGTACGTTCTTGACGCCCCCATTCTGTTTGAAAAAATGAGTGAAAGGAGAGGTGGAATCTGATTTGTCAATAGGAGGGACACAGAAAGGACATAACTCGTAACGGCCACTGGTGGCGCTATGATCGGGACACGAAATTCCAATTCGGCAAGGATGGAAACTGGACTTTTAATTTAAGCTATTAATGTTGTTTCGTAACGTATCGACGACTGACCAAACATAAACATGCCCACGTTTCAAAGAATTCATAAGAATAAACATTGTAAAGCTCTATGTGTACAGTCAGTATAGGAAACATACAAGAATACATACAGAAAGTTTTGTCCGCAACTTCGGGGAGAGTTGTTTCAGTTGTTGTGGTCGTTGGGACTGTGGTCGTTGGGACTGTGGTCGACTCGGTTGTAGAGACTTCGGTTGTCACCGTAGTGGTCGGCTCAGTTGTTGGGACCTCGGTTGTAGGGACGTCGGTTGTAATCGTAGTGGTCGGCTCAGTTGTAGGCGGCTCAGTTGTAGGGACGTCGGTTGTTGCCGTTGTTGCAGGTGTTGTTGAGATTGGCTCTGTCACTGGATCGACTTGACAGCAGTTAGAATAGAAGTTTTCAGCCAGTTTACACATAAATCTAATGTAGTATCTGCGGAGGTAACTGGAGCTTTTGCAATACCTTTCGTATCCTTTACACGTTAAACTAGCCCATTTTTGAGGCATTCGAGACATTGCCTGTTTGCACAAGGGGCTTCTGTCATCGCTTGCCTCACAGCGCTTATTGACTTTTCTGGCAAACCGACATACCAATTTTGTAGACCAATACCTGGTGAATCGTCCAGTACAGAACTTAGAAACAGCAGCCGTTATGTCAGAACATTGAATCGTCTTCAGTGATGCCCGGAAAGTGTTCTGATCCTTCAGGCATCCGCTTCTCACAACCAGAACAATACCACTAGCAGATCGAAGTCTTCTCCAGTAGGTGTTGGAGCACTGCGAATAGCTGCTGGCTACTCCGTACAACTCTTGGATGTCATCATCACCTACCTGCCTCGAGGAGGAAAGTGGGACTGAACACGCCAACAGCAGCAGAACAACCACGAGATACGTCATCTTGGATCCGAGGAACAAGAGGTGATGTGCTCCCGTCAACTCTATCTTATATAGGCCTGTCCTGCAATAGATCTGTCTTATTGCAGCTGTCGATACAGGCGATGGTGAACAATAACGTGTCAGAAGTGGGCAGTAATTGAGCACGAACTTTGGTTACTTTACTACAATATATGGAGAATGTCTCCAAATCCGTGCTACAAACGTTGGATCCTGTGTTATTAATTCATTGACGTCACTGTCTAACTCATAAGGGGTTGGGGTAAAGGTGTTACAAAAGTGTGGGAATTAGATGAAATTTACTTCTCATTCTACTGTTAACAAAGTTACATTGTTCTGAATCATAGGTTTTTATGGGAGATGGGCGCTGTCTGAACTACTTTGAAAGTTATACACATGCTCTGGCCATTGCTGAAATCACGCATGAACATGGAGACAATAGATCACTTTGTGCAGTAATTGATTGTTATCATGAGGCCACAATATTACCCTGTTTGTACTCTATGTTTTGACGAGCATTGTGAATACGACTTCTGACTTTTTAAATATACATGCTCATCAGCAGATAAAACACTAGTACTTATACGGGAGTGAGCGCCATATGGGCAAAAACTTATTCGGGGGGACAAGGGTTTATAGTAAACGGTGTACATATTCATGTTCGTATCCATTCTTGTGAGATGTGTTACACTGGATTATGACACAGGTAGGGCAACTCTCCTTGTGAGAGGATTTACAGTTTTTGTGTATCAGAACACACATAAGGTGCCTGCCTTATTTTTAATAGGACACATATAAGGTGCTTGTCATATTGTATCAGCGTACACATAAGGCGTTTGTCGTGAGGTATCAGGGCACATATAAGGTGCTTGTCTTCAGGTATCAGGGTACACATAAGGTGCTTGTCATGTTGTATCATGGCACACATAAGGTGCTTGTCGTATTGTATTAGGGCACACATAAGGTGCTTGTCTTGTTGTATCGGGGCACACATAAGGTGCTTTTCTTGTTGTATCGGGGCACACATAAGGTTTTTATCTAATTATATCACGGCGCATATAAGATGTTTGTTTGGTTGCATGAGGTCACACATAAGGTGCGTGTTATGCTGTATCTGGGCACAGATAAGGTGCATGTATCAGAAGAAAGATGAGGTGCTTGTCGTATCATTTCAGGGCATACATAAGGTGCTTGTCTTGTATAAGAAACACATTATTAAGTTGATTGTCTTATTGTATCAGGAACACATAAGGCATCTGTCATATCATATCAAGTGCCTGTCTTGATGTGTCAGGGCACACAGAAAGTGCTTCCCATATTGTATCACGGCAAGGGTAAGATGTTTGTCTAATTATAATAGGGCATACATAGGGTGATTGTCTTGTTGTATCAGGGCACACACAAGGTGCCTGTCTTGTTGTAGGAGGGCACACGTGAGGTGCCTATCCTGTTGTATTAGGAACACATAAGGTGCCTGTCATATTGTATAAGAGCAAAGATAAGATGCTTGTCTTTTTATATCATGGCATACATACGGTGCTTGTCTTGTTGTATCAGGAACACATAATGAGTGAGTGAGTTTGACGCCGCTTTTAACAGTATTCCAGTTATATCGCGGCGTGTCAGCTTAATGAGGGAGGAAAGCCCGAAGTGATGCAGGTCTCAGACGTTTACCACTTCGGTGAAACCCACGAGCACTGGTATGGTGCTGACAAACCTGGAAATATAATCGGGGCGAACCGGGATTCGAACCCACAATCATAGGTTTCTGGCGTGCCCAAGGGACGCAACTCTGCACAGCGAATCGCGGCGACTTAGACGACTGGGCCACCCGTGCCCCCCAGGAACACATAAGGCATCTGTCATATTGTATCAGAACACGCATAAGGTGTCTGTCTTGTGGTATCTGGGCACACATAAGGTTCCTGTCTTGTTGTATCAGGGCACACATAAGGTGTCTGTCATATCGTATCAGGGCACGCATAAGGTGCTTGTCTTGTGGTATCTGGGCACACATAAGGTTCCTGTCTTGTTGTATCAGGGCACACATAAGGTGTCTGTCATATTGTATCAGGGCAAAGATAAGGTGGCTGTCGTATTGCATCAGTACACAGATAAGGTGATTATGATATTGTATCAGGGCACACATGATGTGACGGTCTTACTGCATAGGTAAGGTGGCCGTGCTGTAGTATCGGGATAAAGGTAAGGTGAGTGTCTTATTGCATCAGAACACAGACCATTGTTATATGGGATGTTTGGACGCATGTAGGTGACGGTCTTATTGTTTTAGGGTACAGATAAGGTCGTATTGTATTCGGGAGAAATTACATTTTCTACTGTCCAGCGAGAAAATGGTAGTTGCTACCTACCAACTTCCGGTTTGGCATGGACAGCGCTTTCCCCCTGTGTCCAGTCGCCTGATGAAAGTTTGCAGCAATTTGATTTGCCGTTTGAGCTCGATGTCACGGAACCTGTTTTCGGATCAACCGATCCCGTACTCTTGTCGTTGACCTGGGAAAAGATGGCACGTGGACACGACCTTTCGGGTCCGCACGCTGACCAGATTCCAGCATTCTGATAGCGCGTAGACGCTCTGCGCGTTTCCGACGCGGCATCGCTAGTACACAATAAATGAAATCATGTAAATTACAATTGTATGGTACGCAGAATCAATAAGATTGACAGAAATAATGATCCATAGAAATTATTCAACCTTCTTTGCAAATGTCAAAATCAGGAATTGCACCCTACGCACGTACAAACTGTATGATGCGTTTTGTTTTTATGTTTGCAGATATAAACGTTCTTGCATAGGATGGTTGTCGTCATCATTTATCTTTGTTCTTATTCTTGGTATTAAGATTTCATATTTCATGATCGAATCCTTGTTTTGAAAAGTATATAAAGAGATAAATTAACGCTTACCAAAAGGACAAGCAGCCTTTGAATTTGACTGATAGATAGTGAGTTGATTGACAAGAACCACACAGAAACAGTACTGGAAGATTGTCACAATTGCGTTGGCCTTGTACGTGTGATGGAGGTAGATATCCTGCAGTGGGGATTGAGTCGGAGTCCTGGAGTTGGGGCTGACAGATTCCAAACGCTGGTACGTGGAAACAATGATAGTTATTTAAGGGCACAGCTGATGAATATACTGTTGTCGAACTGGAAGAGTCTTCATGGGGTCCAGTATTTTTGGAGTTATTGTAGATAATGTACCTAATGGTGTGAACCCCAGACTAAAATTTATAAGTTCAACACTAACCTTTTGGTTTGGACTTGAATGCTTGGGGTACCGGAGATCGGATTCTCGCCAGTATCACACTTAGTGTGGTGTCTCTAAGGGGAGTTCTACATTAACATACAATTCAGTCTGCGGGTTCACATCTTCTATTTTACTGAGACAGTATGTCTGAACTCTCACAGGTGTATAGCCTGGTCACTTATATAGTCAGCCTCATTAGCTTAGTTCTCACAGTCAGTCCCTTGTCCGCGAGGCCATGCACCAGGTCTTGTGGTTTGGCCTCTGTGGTAATTTAATAGTTGTAATTCAAATAAGTGTCCTGTGCCAAATTGTCAAATAAAGGCATAACTACAGTGTGGATATATGGTGTCAGTTCCATGATCTTTGATACCTCTCTGTACTCCTATTCCTTTGTCAGTATTGGTATAATGACCAGGATAAAATCACCCAGATGTCGAGTGCACATCACCTGATGGAATAATGTCACCATTGGTTTAAGGCTTACTGTTGAACCAGTACATTAACTATTGAAAATGCCACCTGAACGTCAAGATACAGCTATGCGGCTGTCCAATCTGCGGATATGATTAGGAGAATGAAGGTTCAGTGACTGGTGTATAATTAGAGGGGGGAGCAATCTGGCATATCCCCCTATCGAGTAAACATGTTATTGTAGATTTGACACATCTTTCTTCAAATTCAAAACCTATCCATCCTGATTTGATTTCAATATTATTGAGTGAGTGAGTGAGCGATTGTGTGAGTGGGTTTGGGTTAACGCCGCTTTTAACAGTATTCCAGTTATTTCATGGCGTGTCAGCTTAATGTGGGAAGAAAGCCCGACGTGATGAAGGTCTCAGACGTTTACCTCTTCGGTGAAACCCGAGAGCACGGATATGGTGCTGACAAACCTAGAAACATGATCAGGGCGAACCGAGATTCGAACCCACAATCATAGGTTTCTGGCTTGCCCAAGGGACGCAACTCTGCACAGCGAATCGCAGAGACTGCGACACACTGGGCCACCCGTGCCCCCCGATATTAGTGAAAAGTATGAAGTTTAAAATAGCGGATATCCTTTGTCTTTAGCAATCATTATGGATGAATTTTCGTGGACTTTTGTCGCAACAATCTATTCTATGCCCTGTAGCAAACCGATCCTGTTAAAGTTGTTTTTTTCAAAAGCATTGGTCACTTTGGATACATGCTACCCTGGACACCCGTGATCAGTTACTGTGCAATTAATGCCATTGGGGAAGTAAGCAAGCAAACAACACCGTCCTCAATGATATAATTTAATAATGTGAGAGCTTCGATGTCCAAACGTTCACACGTCCACATTCGTGCACTCGCCTACTTTTTGGTTAGAGAACATGTGCAAAAGATTCGTCCGTCTCATACCTTCCAGGTACATGCTAAGTTTTAGACCTATACACTGGTTATATTTTTGAAGTACAAGGGGCAATACAGTTTAAATAAGATTTCATGATCTTCCTAATGGTGACAGACCGCCTTGTGGTCTTGTTGATAGAGCGTCACCATAAGGACGTTAAAAATGATAATTTTTGTTACCCTCTCTGGCGCTCAGCATGAAGGGGATAAAGGACGGACTCCTCGTTTCAGAGTCTATATACTTCGTCAACGTGGGGCATGCGCTGTTACAACCCCTTGTTATCATTTCTTGGATGTTACACAAAGCGTTGACGTTGTCGATATTCTATGCAAGATCGGCCTTCAGTGCAACTGTTCTCACTAACCATTGCTGGAAGAATGGGGATTCTGGGTGAACCTGCATCATTAGTGGAGGAAGCTATCTGCATAATAGGTGGAGGAAGCAATCTGCATAATAGGTGGAGGAAGCAATATGCGTAATAGGTGGAGGAAACAATCTGCATAATGGGTGGAGGAAGCAATCTGCGTAATAGGTGGAGGAAGCAATCTGCATAATGGGTGGAGGAAGCAATCTGCATAATAGGTGCAGGAAGCAATCTGCATAATGGGTGGAGGAAACAATCCGCATAATAGGTGGAGGAAGCAATATGCGTAATAGGTGGAGGAAGCAATCTGCATAATAGGTGGAGGAAGCAATCTGCGTAATAGTTGGAGGAAACAATCTGCATAATGGGTGGAGGAAGCAATCTGCATAATAGGTGGAGGAAACAATCTGCATAATAGGTGCAGGAAGCAATGTGCATAATAGGTAGAGGAAGCAATGTGCATAATAGGTAGAGGAAGCAATCTGCATAATAGGTAGAGGAAGCAATCTGCATAATAGATGGAGGAAGCAATCTGCATAATAGGTGCAGGAAACAATCTGCATAATAGGTGGAGGAAGCAATCTGCATAATAGGTGGAGGAAAGAATCTGCATAATAGTTGGAGGAAAGAATCTGCGTAATAGTTCGAGGAAACAATCTGCGTATTAGGTGGAGGAAACAATCTGCGTAATAGTTGGAGGAAACAATCTGCATAATAGGTGCAGGAAACAATCTGCATAATAGTTGGAGGAAACAATCTGCATAATAGTTGGAGGAAAGAATCTGCGTAATAGTTGGAGGAAACAATCTGCGTAATAGTTGGAGGAAACAATCTGCATAATAGGTGCAGGAAGCAATCTGCATAATAGGTGGAGGAAGCAATCTGCATAATAGGTGGAGGAAACAATCTGCATGATTATTTGGGAGGCAATCATCATTAATAGTAGGGGAAACGTTCAGACCTTTTGTGTCACCTTGGGCTTTGTGGACTGGTCGTGATTTCCCATGCGATAAGATGCAGCTTATCACCACTGAAGCTCCCAGAGGAGAATATTTCACTCAGGATGTTGTCATGGGAAAAGAATACGAAATTTATGTTTGTGCCATTTTCTCGCTTGTCCACTTAATAATGTAAGCATGTAATAATGTACGTGCTGAGTAGCCTCCCTGTGACAATCATGTACAGTCAGAAAGAAACAACAACATCATCATCATCATCATCAACATTAGCAACCACAACGAAGCTACAAGAACCTTAATACAATAGTCAAACAGAATCATATCCATGCGAGGATTGTCAATTTGCTTGAGCAATACACGGTGCGCCGAAAAGATGGGCTTTAAGTAAGGATGTGAGTGAATGGATGAGTTGATATTTGTCGTCGAATCCGCAACAACGAAAGTGAAAACAAATAAATATAAAGTTGACAACAACAACAGCAGCACATAAATGAAGTTATCTCGCGAGTGAGTTTTAGATGGTAAATATTCTGTATTAGAAAACAACAACATTGTATAAACATTGTATACGCGAGCCAAAGTATGCAATTATAGGAAAATGGTGAAATCAATGAGGCTTTGTCCCCACTGGCTTTCACGTCGACATCATGGGCGTGATCCATGTATGTGTATGTCATGGACCTGCCTGTGCTTCCCAGCTCAATTAGTGCTGACCGAACTGCGAGTTCACTGTGATACATTGTGTACTTACCTCAGCGATTCAGAGGGGAAAATGTCAGAACGAGCTAATTACTGTAATACCGAATGCACGCCGTAACAATACACCAGAGCAACAGCTGGTTAGACTACACAGCATCGTCCGGCAGTGCTTTTTATTTTACACTTAGCATGCGTATGCGTCTGTCACGATTACTTCGGAAATTCACGAGGGATCACAAAATAGTGATGCATAGAATTTGTCTTTTAAGGACAATAGTTTACGTTATTTCAGTATGCAAGATACTTATTAAGTCTAGATACTGGTGTCACAAGGCAAGCGCTGTTCAGTCTGTAAAACCTATATTCTCTAGATTAAATATCGAAATGATATCATGATCGATGTCAAACATGTGCAGCTTCATCATTCTTTTGTGTCTGGAATAAATGCGTCCCCACGTAGAGCCAAGTTAGAGGATTGCATGATATAGAGATGTTATGGACATCTTCCTTAGCTAAACCTATGTGGTCATTAGTAAATAATTTTTAAATTTGAAGTTTACACGATATACGGCTTTTCCATTGGACGAAAGGTCGGTCACATGACCGCGAAATTGACGTTCATAAGTGTATGAACGACACAATTTGACGTTCATACGTTTTTTACGAGATCGTGCTCTTGAAATGACGTAAACACTGACGGACTACTTCCACATTCCTGGGGGAAACCCTGGGAATTCCCTAGCACGTAAACATACATAAGCGTTCTTTCTGATCATTTAGCACCTTTATTCTTGGTCTCAGCGTTTCAGTATGCATTGAGAAATGTCAGACAGCGTGAATGCATGATTGTTCACGAATATCCTCGCTGCGGCCCATCCTAATGGACAAACGAAGAAATGCACATCTAAACTATCGTAGTATTGACTCAATCTGTGCCTAGGCTGACATTTACCGTCTCCAGCAATCTATGAATTTACCGCAAATTAATCGCAAACTCCGACGTTCATACAGTTTGGCCCTCATTCTACGAAGGTTCATACTCCAATGAACTCACACAAAGTGAAGGTCAATTCTTAAGTAACCAACGAGAATGTGTCACTGATTTACCCCGCACCTATGCTAGTTGTAAACGAAGTTTAGGAACAATCGGCTCTATCATATAACTACAGCCCACAAGCCCACACGTCCACACGCCCACACGCCCACACGTCCACACATCCACTTCTCCACAAGTCCTCTCGTCAATGCATCCACAACTTCACCCGTCCACTCGTCCACCCGTCCACACGTCCACTCGTTCACTGGTCTGCACGTCTACACGTCAACACGTCCACACGTTCACACGTTCACACGCCCACACATCCACTTCTCCACAAGTCCTCTCGTCAATGCATCCACAACTTCACCCGTCCACTCGTCCACCCGTCCACACGTCCACTCGTTCACTGGTCTGCACGTCTACACGTCAACACGTCCACACGTTCACACGTTCACACGTTCACACGCCCACACATCCACTTCTCCACAAGTCCTCTCGTCAATGCATCCACAACTTCACCCGTCCACTCGTCCACCCGTCTACACGTCCACATGTCCACAGGTCCACATGCCCAGACGTCCACACGTTCACACGCCCACACGTCCACATGACTATACGCCCATACGCTCACACGTTCACACGTCCACACGCCCAGACGCCCACTCGTCCACACGTCCACACATCCACTTCTCCACAAGTCCTCTCGTCAATGCATCCACAACTTCACCCGTCCACTCGTCCACCCGTCTACACGTCCACATGTCCACAGGTCCACATGCCCAGACGTCCACACGTTCACACGCCCACACGTCCACATGACTATACGCCCATACGCTCACACGTTCACACGTCCACACGCCCAGACGCCCACTCGTCCACACGTCCACACATCCACTTCTCCACAAGTCCTCTCGTCAATGCATCCACAACTTCACCCGTCCACTCGTCCACCCGTCCACACGTCCACTCGTTCACTGGTCTGCACGCCCACACGTCCACATGACCACACGCCCACACGCCCACACGTCCACACATCCACTCGTTCACTGGTCTGCACGTCTACACGTCAACACGTCCACACGTTCACACGTTCACACGCCCACACATCCACTTCTCCACAAGTCCTCTCGTCAATGCATCCACAACTTCACCCGTCCACTCGTCCACCCGTCCACACGTCCACTCGTTCACTGGTCTGCACGTCTACACGTCAACACGTCCACACGCCCACACGTCTACTCGTCGACACGTCTACACGCCAATACGCCCAAACGTCAACACGTCCACACGCCTAGACTTCAAAACGTCCACTCGTCCATACATTCATACGCCCACGCGTCCATGCGTCCACACGTCAACACACCCACACGTCTACTCGTCGTCACGTCCACACGCCCACATGTCCACAAGTCCACACGTCAACACGCCCACTCGTCCACACGACAACACGTCCACTCGTCGTCACGTCCACACGCCCACACGTTCACACGCCCACTCGTCTACACGTTCAAACGCCCACATCGTCCACTCGTCTACACGTCCACTCGTCAATGCATCTACAACTTCCCACGTCCACACGTCCACTTGTCTACACGTCCACACGTCCACTCGTCCACACGCCCACACATCCATTCGTCGACACGCCCACAGGCCTACATGTCCACAAGTCCACACGTCCACACGTTCACACGCCCACGCGTCCACACGTTCACACGCCCACATCGTCCACACGTCCACTCGTCAATGCATCCTTAACCGTCCACTCGTCCACACGTCCACTTGTCTACACGTCCACACGTCCACAGGTCCACACGTCCACTTGTCTACGCGTCCACATGTCCACAGGTCCACACGCCCAGACGCCCACACGTCCACACGTTCACACGCCCACACGTCCACATGACCACACGCCCACACGCTCACACGTTCACACGTCAAAACGCCCATACGTCCACGCGTCAAACACGTCCACACGCCCAGACGCCCACTCGTCCACACGTCCACACGCCCACACGTCCACATGACCACACGCCCACATGCTCACACGTTCACACGTCAAAACGCCCATACTTCCACGCGTCAAACACGTCCACACGTCCAGACGCCCACTCGTCCACACGTCCACACGTCCACACGTCCACATGACCACACGCCCACAGGCTCACACGTTCACACGCCCAGACGCCCACTCGTCCACACGTCCACACGCCCAGACGCCCACACGTCTACATGTCCACACGCCCACACGTCCACTCGACCACACGTCTACACGCCCGCACGTCCAGACGCCCACTCGTCCACACGTCCACACGTCCACACGCCCAGACGCCCACACGCCCACACGTCTACATGTCCACACGCCCACACGTCCACTCGACTACACGTCCACACGCCCGCACGTCCACACGTCCACTCGTCAATTCTTCTCAGCCTAGGTAAAAGTCACTCTTGAGTGTTCTCAGCCACGGTCCAGATAACTCGAGTGCTTTCAGCGTAGATCCAAGTCACTCTTGAGTGATCTCAGTTTAGGTCCATATCACTCTTGAGTGATCTCAGCCTAGGTCCAAGTCACTCTTGAGCGATCTCAGCCTAGGCCCATATCACTCTTGAGTGATCTCAGTCTAGGTCCAATTCACTCTTGAGTAATCTCAGCCTAGGTCCTAGTCACTCTTGAGTGATCTCAGCCTAGGTTCTTGTCATTCTTAAGTGATCTGAGCCTAGTCCCCTATCATTCTTGAATGATCTCAGCCTAGGTCCAAGTCACTCTTGGGTGATCTCAACCAAGGTCCTAGTCACTCTTGAGTAATCTCAGTCTAGGTCCAAGTCGCTCTTGAGTGACCTCAGACTAGGCCCCTATCACTCTTGAGTCATCTCAGCCTAGGCCCATATCACTCTTGAGTCATCTCAGCCTAGGCCCAAGTCATTCTTGAGTGCTGTCAGCCTAGGTCCTAGTCACTCTTGAATGATTTGAGCCGGTGATTGAGTTGGACTTCCTTCGTCGGCTAAGAATGTACAATTGATAGAAAAAGGCAGCAACAAGAAAATAAACATTTCTAAGAAGAAAATGTTAGACAAATTCAAACCGTATAACACCCCCTCTTACAATTGTGGTGTTCTTTTGCGCAAGTATTTATGATATGTTTGGTCATGTAAATTTGTCATCTGCTTTTCATGTGCTTGAGTACAGTTATGATAGCTTCCATCACGATTGCCCGCCCTGGACATCACGTGTATGTCCGCCATACAGAGAAAAACTCGCAACTAATCCATAATATCCCTTTATGCCGTGACCAGACTACTCTGATAAATGTCGCTGTTTCCATTTAAATATTTATAAAAATTTAATATTGGTCGTGGCACATGCTTGTTCGAAATCCGATATACCATGTACAGTTGCCTGCCACTGATACCCAGTTGGCTTTTGCCATGCTTGTATGCTTTGGATGCTTATATTTATAATCCATTTCCTATTTGGTAACGGTAGTTGTATACACTTCTACTTTTCACTCACAAGTGTAGGAGTGCCATAAACCTTCCCTTGTAAACATGAAACTATTGTTTATGTAAATAATATGTCAGCCGCTCGAGCCTTTGGTGAACAACTGACTTTCCTCTGTATGTTGATTTTTAGTACTTTGTATTGTACCTAATAAAGTCGATGTATTTAATCTAAAATCATAGATACAAATATGAAATATGAAACCTCGATAGTCACATGTTGTCGTTGTACAAAGGCATTGAAAACTGTACATTGTTATGTCACATAAGGCCACAAGGTTGCGCTGAACTCAGTATCTCGTGCGACCGCCCCGGGCAGCAATCATGGCTCTGCATCTTCCCGGTACTGACTGGATAAGAGTACGAATTCTGTCCTGCGGAATTCTGCGCCATTCTGCTTGTAACGCGTTCGCCAGTTGTGGGAGTGTCTGCCGCATGTTCTGGCCCTGACGAACACGTCGACCGAGTTCATCCCAGAGGTGTTCGATTTGTGTGAGATCTTGAGATCTCGACGGCCAGGGCATGCCGTTGATGTTGGCATTATGAGGGTAGTTTACCGTAACATGTAGCGACTTGCTGTCAAATTTACCTGAACCAGATCTCCTGGTGAAGGATATGCCTCCTCCTCCACACACACACATACACACACCATGACACTAACTCAGGTACACATTGTGGGTCCAAACGCTCATTTCGACGACGATGAACACTTTGACTTCTATCTCGCCTGTCAAGAAGAAATCGTGATTCATCGCTAAACCACACTCGTCTCCAGTTTCTCAATTTCCAAGACTGTAAGGTATGACACCAATGCAAGCGTCACTGTCGATGGATCTGTTGCAAAACAGGGACGATAACTGGTCTTCTGAGTCGGATTCCAGCCTCGCGAAGATGGTTCCTGACAGTCTGGTCCGTTATCCTCCTCAAATCAGGGATGCGTCGGCCGGTTCTCGGACGGTCTGCAATTGAATTGAACTGTGTATCGGTCCCAAATGCGGCAAATGGTGCTGTGGTGGACGTTGCAGTGGCGTGCAACAGAAGACTGCTATTCATCTCTTTGGATACGTCCAATGGCGATGTTTCGTTCGACAGCGCTGGGTCTGGGCAATTTTCGAACTTGAAACAATGTTGACAATTGAATGATATTATTGGCTTATGCTGGCCTTTTTATAGCCACTACCACGAATTACGAATGCCATAACTCGCACGTGCATTTTGCTTTTCTGTTTTCCCCCGTTACATTTTTGAACAAGTTTGTAAACAATGCCGTTTAAGGCATTGCAAATCGACACTGGCTGCGTTTTGACGCATCGTTTGTCGAATATCAGACCACCAACATTTTCCAATAACATATATTCAATTTATATACCGGATTTTCTGTTGTCAGGTTCAATGAACTATCCGGTAGTAAATGATACTCAGGAATAATACAAGAACATGGTGTTTTTTCGAAAGTTTATTGCACACAAAACATAAACCTAACAGCACAATGATTACAAGTAAGTGAAATTGTGGTGACACAGCTACCTGTATATATAACAGATACTTGTTTGCGAGCCGGATGCTAAGAGGGTTTTGTCACTTTCAGTTTCGAAAAAATATGTACACTTACGGAATGTGCCGTGTTGGGGTTAAAATTAGAAGTGTCGAGGAATAAAAATCCTAATTATATATAGCAGTTCAATTCCTGTCAACAATTAGAGTGAATGCTTGCCTCCTTTCTCATAGCATACCATGTATAAATCAACTATACTGAACCACAAAAGAACCGTCACCCCTAGTAACAATGCTTGAAAAGTTGTCATTTAAATATCTGCGTATTTTTTGTCAAAGTTTCTAAAATTCAACATTATCTTGTCCGGAAAAATGCAATGAAATAAAACCGATCGCCCAATTGCTTCACGGCAATGGCCATGGTAGCCCGATGCACGTGAGTTCCGTGCAAATTGAAATGCACATGCTTTCCCCCATTTCTTGCCCTATAAAAATCCACCCAGATCGGATAACATTCATTCGTTATTGAATTACTACCACATGCCAAGATTGAAAAGAAATCAGCGACACCAAGCCCTTGGGCAGTTGCAAGCTGGACAAACCTCCCGGCAAGTAGCCAATGCATTTCAAGTCAACATAAGGACCACATACAGGCTCCAGCAATGGTACCAGACCACTAACACCACAGATAACCGACCACGTAGTGGAAGACCAGGATTGTCAGATTGTACAACAGCATCTTCAAGATCGCTTACTGCTGCAGAAACTGCTCGACAGACCATGGGGACACACCTGCGACACATTAGTGTGGACACCGTGCGTCGACGACACCTCCACTGTCACAGGCCACACCGAGGACCCATTCTGTCACCACGTCATCGCCGGGGTCGTCTTCAGTGGGCAACACAGCACCAGCATTGGCGCCACCAGCAGTGGAGAAGAGTCCTCGTCTCAGACGTGAGCCGTCACTGTATCTCAACAGCAGATGGCAGAGAGAGAGAGTCTGTCGACGCTGTGGTGGATGTTATTCGGATGCTTGTGTTGTTGAGAGAGACTCGTGGGGTGGTCCGAGTATCATGGTTTTGGGTGGAATTGGTCTTGTACAGAGGGTCGGCCCTGTGGTCTTCCAGAACATCGGTCCAGGGAGAGGCAATGGTGTCACAGCAGCTCGGTACATTGATCAAGTCTTGAGACCACATGCCATACCTCATTTGGCACGTCGCTGCAAACACGAGTTTCAGCATGATAACGCCCGTGCCCACACTGCGAGAGCAACAAGAGACTTCCTCCAGCAGAATGGCATCAGAACCATACAGTGGCCTGCCCTCAGTCCCGATTTAAATCCCCTTGAGCACCTGTGGGACAAGATTCAAAGACAACTGAATGACGTCCGACCAAGGCCGACAACTGCAGCTGAAGTGCGTCAGGCGTTCCTCAGAGTGTGAGCTCAAGTGCCTATGGCCTTCATCAACTGCCTCATCCATTCCATGTATCGACGTTGCACGGCTGTCATCAAAACACATGGCGGACACACGGGATACTGACTTGTGGTGCCATTTTCTCAGAGACTAGTGTTGTGTTTCACTTTCAGAACATGTGACATTTTAATTTTAACATTGATGATCAGTTTGTTCACGTTTCATTTGTCTCAAAGTATGTTAACAGTGTTTGGACAAACAAGGTTTCTCATATATCTATCCATGGTGACGTTTCTTTTGCGGTTCAGTATATTATTAAGCATACCATTAACAACGCGTGCTGACATCCTCAATGAACCCTAACAACATCGCTAATTAATACATCATATTTAGAGGATAATGTTCAAGACAAGCGTTTATGTTTTGAAATATCTGCACAAATAAAACATTGTATAATAATCCTTTGTCCAGCATATCATGTTGTTTTAGCCTGATTAGAATATCTTAACGGATATACATTTCACAACTCTCTGAATAGTTATTCAACATTCTGAATGATCTCAAATATCCGTGTTTTGAAGGGCTCCTCATGGTACATAATGATACTATCAAATTACAAAAGAACACAACTGACTCATTAAAGTATTTGCTGATGTGAAAAGGATAATAGTTTAATTATTCACTGGAGGAAACAACATATGAGACTAGCCGGGAAGGGACGCATGTAATATTTCTTATGATCATGGAAATGTTTTTGTCGCTATTTTTGTTCTTACTGCATTCAATACAATAGCTTTATATTATACACACAAAGCACAAAGTGAAATGAAATTGACCCAAAAAGTGTAGGCATGTACCGTCTCCAAAAACACTTTCCACATTCATAAAGAAAATCAGCTGAAAGCAGGGTCAACTGTACGTCAACATACATATCAAGAGTATGTGTGGATGAATCACTATCAAATAGTGATGCTACCAGGTGTTCGTATCCTGCCCAACCGGTGGCACCCGTCACATACACATGCAAAAGCAAGTCAATTGTTCTTCTGGAATAAGGACAACAGAGGGAACACAGGTTACAATCCAGAATATGGAATTGTATCGGACACCACGTTCGTCACTGATGCGTCACATTTAAACATCTTCACAAATAAATATACGCTAGAACGCTTTGACAGCAGTAGTGAGGCTTTAAATGCTGTAACCCTAGTCAAACAGCTTTTTACACTCTATGAAATCTTCGTAAAAAGAGCATGCTAGATTGTAGCTAAATAATTGTGAAATAAAAACACAAAAGGCTGGAGTTGCTGGAATATTGCTCGACGTGAAGAGAAAGTTGACTATTGGAAACAGTAGTCGTCCGTTTTGCCATACAGTCATGTGGAGAACAATTTTAGTCGCTCTCAATCTTTATGCAGGAATCTATATTTTATCAGATGAGGCGGTCTCATTATGCGTCTATTATTTCTACTTCAGATGGGTAAATCAGTGGAAAAGAATATGGCAAATGCTAATAACATTTTAACGGATATGTGTGATACTAATTTTACTACCTCTGGATATAGAAACCTCAAAAGAATGAACACTTTTAAAACAACAATATAATAACAAACAATAATACATTGTAGATCACAGTGCTACAAAGTAGGATGATGCCTTTTCGAGTTCGAGTTATTACAAAGCTTTAATAATCACGGAGAACAGAAAGAAATGAACTGCTGCCTAATTTCTAACAGTCCATACTTGACATTAACCAATAATGAATTAAGCATAATAAACCATAATATGGTGGACTAAGCGACGTGTGTGATGCTGGTGTGAAGTAAAGTAAAAAACACGCACATCGCTAACGTAACCAAAACACGTCTTTATGAAGAAAACAGAAGATTTCAAAGGATAGTACTGATACCTATTACAATTAAATCTAAATTGGAACATAAATACATTCCAACAAAAATATGTGACGCTGATTGCGTTCAATGGATCATAAAATGCCAGTGGAAACAGCAGAAGGGGGAATATAAAGATGGAAAGCGACATCATCAAAATAAATCTGTTATATAATTTTACGTCATGGCTATTTGCAATGTTATCATGGTAGCCATATTCTGTGTTATTGTAAAACTGAGACGTTTGCTTTTTACGTGGGTGAAGTGGGACCGCCCGTACCCACCTATTGTTTTATCAATGGTACAATATGTACTTGTAAGCTAGCAAGTTGACTAAATGTCCAAAGTAGAGACATGTCGGATGCTCATGTAGTTAAGTGAGAGAACATTAAAACCAACTGAAGCAAATTGATCACTGCATGATTAAATACACAATACATGTAGTGTCTGAGTGCATGGTTACACGGTGTCTGTGAAAATATACTAGTATTAAGGCGACCGATTATCAGTGTTCAAAATTATGATTTTCCGGTCATATCTGTCCAGTTCATACGTTTTTATTGACTCATTGTCTTCGACATTATTGCTTTTTAAAACTGACAAAATTTAAAGCAAACACATTTGGTCTGTTTTCATTGTCGGTTGTCGGGCGTGATATGAAAACGTAATGAAAAATAGGAATCATTCCTTTTCCAAGCATCATTTACTGTCAAAGCAAGTCAAAATCGTCTTTGTGTCGAGCAAATACATTACCTGCTGAGCAACCTCACTGCCATACCACTGACAATCCTCAGTCTCTAAGACGCCTGACAGCAAGTGTTGCACCTATGTCAAGTCCGGTAACAAACACACCTGTAAGTATTGCACCTGTGTCAAGGCCGGTAACAAACACACCTGTAAGTGTTGCACCTATGTCAAGGTCGGTAACAAACACACCTGTAAGTATTGCACCTGTGTCAAGGCCGGTAACAAACACACCTGCAAGTGTTGCACATATGTCAAGGTCGGTAACAAACACACCTGTAAGTGTTGCACCTATGTCAAGGCCGGTAACAAACACACCTGTAAGTATTGCACCTATGTCAAGGCCGGTAAGAAACACACCTGAAAGTGTTGCACCTATGTGAAGGTCGGTAAGAAACACACCTGAAAGTGTTGCACCTATGTCAAGGCCGGTAACAAACACACCTGTAAGTATTGCACCTGTGTCAAGGCCGGTAACAAACACACCTGCAAGTGTTGCACCTATGTCAAGGCCGGTAACAAACACACCTGTAAGTATTGCACCTGTGTCAAGGCCAGTAACAAACACACCTGAAAGTGTTGCACCTATGTGAAGGTCGGTAAGAAACACACCTGAAAGTGTTGCACCTATGTGAAGGTCGGTAACAAACACACCCGTAAGTGTTGCACCTATGTGAAGGTCGGTAAGAAACACACCTGAAAGTGTTGCACCTATGTCAAGGCCGGTAACAAACACACCTGTAAGTATTGCACCTGTGTCAAGGCCGGTAACAAACACACCTGTAAGTGTTGCACCTATGTCAAGGTCGGTAACAAACACACCTGTAAGTGTTGCACCTATGTCAAGGCCAGTAACAAACACACCTGTAAGTGTTGCACCTATGTCAAGGCCGGTAACAAACACACCTGTAAGTGTTGCACCTGTGTCAAGGCCGGTAACAAACACACCTGTAAGTTGTTGCACCTGTGTCAAGGCCGGTAACAAACACACCTGTAAGTATTGCACCTGTGTCAAGGCCGGTAACAAACACACCTGAAAGTGTTGCACCTATGTCAAGGCCGGTAGCAAACACACTTATAAATATTAAACCCTGGTCAACACAACACCCCTGCCCACCCCACCCCACCTCACCCATCAAAGTTCCAGAGGCGGCACCCAGGTCAAGGTACTTAGAACACAACACCCAACTTAACCCTACCCCACCCATCAAAGTTGCAGTGGCGGCACCCAGGTCAAGGTATGGACGATGAGGTAATTGAGAGAGTCAGAGTGACCATAATACCATGGATACCAAATCGAAACGTCGGCGCCAGCCAATAGCCTCCTATGTGTACTCTCACAGGATCCGTCGTCTACATTGATTGTGTCTAAGTGCCGATTCACTTTGATCTTTTCAAGCTACAATGGAGATTTAAACAGAAAATTTTCTCCAAATCGCACTCGTAATGAGTTGGTTCCCACCTTTCTGAGTGAATAGAGTACAGTTTCCGTGTGTGTACTGCACGTCAGTACATGTCGACAACTTGCCACACATCTCGATACAAGACAGGAGGTTATTGTCAGATATTGTAATTAACATTTTCACCATAACGCTTATGGTATCCATGAACCTAAATGAGTTGTTTATAGCTATGCATTCATTGAGACTTGATAACAAAATTAGTCTTAGAACATCTTCAGACATTGTTGTAGCACTGGGCGAAGGAGTGGAGATACCTGTCATGGTAGTCGTTCTCGCAGGAACAGTCGTTAATGCCACTGAGTCCATAAAACTATTTGAATGTATTATGGAGGCGGGTGTTGTCGACCCCGGTGATGTAGGTGTATTGAAAGTAGTCATGCTGCTTAAGGTGGGTGTTGTTGACCCTGATGATATAGGTGTTGGGGTCGGAGTCGTTGTGGTTATCGTGGGTGTTGTAGACGCTGATGATGTAGGTGTAGTGGTAGAAGTCGTTGTGGTTAACGTGGGTGTTGTAGACGCTGATGATGTAGGTGTAGTGGTAGTAGTCGTGCTGCTTAGTATGCGTGTTGTTGAACCTGATGAGACATGTTTAGTGGCAGTAGTCGTGCGGCTTAACGTGAGTGGTGTTGAACCTGATGATGTCGTAGTAGTAGTAGTAGTAGTAGTAGTAGTAATTGTAGTTAACGTGATTGTTGTAGACGCTGATGATGTAGGTGTATTGAAAGTAGTCGTGCTGCTTAAGGTGTGTGTTGTTGACCCTGATGATATAGGTGTTGGGGTCGTAGTCGTTGTGGTTATCATGGGTGTTGTAGACGCTGATAATGTAGGTGTAGTGGTAGTAGTCGTGCTGCTTAGCATGAGTGTTGTTGAACCTGATGAGACATGTGTAGTGGCAGTAGTCGTGCGGCTTAACGTGAGTGTTGTTGAACCTGATGATGTCGTAGTAGTAGTAGTAGTAGTAGTAGTAATTGTAGTTAACGTGAGTGTTGTTGACCCTGATGATATAGGTGTATTGAAAGTGGTCGTGCTGCTTAAGGTGGGTGTTGTTGACCCTGATGATATAGGTGTTGGGGTCGTAGTCGTTGTGGTTATCGTGGGTGTTGTAGACGCTGATGATGTAGGTGTAGTGGTAGTAGTCGTGCTGCTTAGCATGAGTGTTGTTGAACCTGATGAGACATGTGTAGTGGCAGTAGTCGTGCGGCTTAACGTGAGTGTTGTTGACCCTGATGATATAGGTGTAGTGGTAGAAGTCGTTGTGGTTAACGTGGGTGTTGTAGACGCTGATGACGTAGGTGCATCAGCAGTTTTATTTAGTGTCGTAGAGGTTGTGAAACTATTCCGTGAGTTTGTCTGGAGGAAAACGACAGCTCCTGGAGATGTTACAGCAGTTGCAGTACTTGTGGTGGTCGCTGGCCTTGACGTTCGCACACCGTTTACAGTAGAAGACGTGGTGGTTGTTGGGGCTGTCAAAGGCCCATGTGTAGTAGCGGTACTGATTGTCGATGCAGCAGTAGCAGAATCTACAATTATGGAAGTTTTGTCGCTAGCTGCTATCATCGATGCGACTGCATCAGTCGTTTGGATTAAGGAGGATGCGACCCCAGTACTTGACGCTGCACCTGGGACATTGAAGGCATTGGAGCGAATCAGATTTGTGTTCAAAGGTTTAATCGAGTGCACATTACTCCTTTAATACATTCACAGTATGGGGTGTCTTTAAAATTGGGGTGTCAATTTTTTAAAACTTGTTTATATAAATACCTATAAGTAATATATTTCCACAATTCTAATAATCGCACAATCCCGAACATAGTGTTATTTTTCTATTCTGAGGTCGGGGAATGTTCTTTAATTTTGTCAAACTAAACCTCGCATGGTCAATTTTTTTACGTAAATAATATAACATTTTGGCGTTCAACTATACTTTGCAAAGAAAAAAAGAAACGCAAAAGTAGTAAATATCTGACAGAGTGTTGCCGACATCCATTCAAAATTAATGCCAAAAATGAATTGGTCATATATAGAATGAGGTACTGCAGAATTGTGGTGAATAGATAAGAAAATCGAAAAAAAACCCAACCACGTGTGAGCCTTGCGCCGAAACACAACAACATAACATGCACGTGCAACATCACTTGTTTGGCTATAAAAACGTTGGATTTTCATTTTCGTGTCATTACAATCTTACAGTAAGTGAACAGCGAAAAGAAAACTAGGCTGGCGGAAAGCCAACGCAACAACGCCAGGGTTTTCCACGTAACTCCAAGCACCATCACAAGACTTGAATCGTTATCTTACACACGGGACAAAACGGGACTGCCCCAGATCCGGTCGACCACGGTTCACTGCTACAGCACAGGACAGATTCATACGGCTAAGTCACGTACGTGAAAGAACCACCACGGCCACCTACGGCAAAACCATGATCGTATAGAATATCAGCCAAGACAGTGAGGAACCGTTTTCGCGCTGAAGGTATTCGCGCAAGACGACCAGTTCGAGGTGTCATTTTGACAGACCTGCATCGTCGGCTGCGACGTCAATGGTGTCAAAGTCACAGTGTGGTGACAACTGCGATGGAGACAAGTTTGGTTTAGTGATGTTTTATGTTTCACCGTGTGGGTGGTAGACGTCAAATTTACAGGCGTCACTTGGTACGTTCTTCACGAAACTGCAAACAGGATGTAGACAGATTTGGTGGTGGTAGTGTAATGATGTGGACAGCCATCTCCTACACTGGTAGGACAGACATGGTGCAAGTTCTGGGGAACTTAACGGCACAACGTTACACGGAAGACATTCGTTTGCCACACGTCCTTCCCTTTATGTAACAAGAGAACGTCATTTTCCTACAAGACAACGCCCGACCTCACACGGCAAGACTTTTTCAGAAATCGCAACATTCAAGGTCTGCCATGGCCCTCCAGGTCTCCAGGTTTAAACCCATTCGAACATTTATGGGATGCACTGGATCAACGATTGCGAGCACATTAGCAACAACCACAGAACATCCTACAGTTGCAACACGCACTGCAGACAGTGTGGTTGAAAACTTCCCAGGCAACAATTTGGGATCTGATTGCTCTTATAGTTGGCATTATTTAAAGATATTGAGTACAGATGACCTTCACCTTGAAACTTTACAATTCCATGTGTGTCGGATGGAACCTGGGTCAACGACATTGATGTCTGCCAATTTTAAACAATCGATTACCATCTGTTGATTATTTCTGTGATATATAGATATTCATCTAAGATTACTTTTGCGTTTCATTTTTTCAGAGAATATATGACAATAGATACAATTTGATTTCTCCACAAGCTGTAACTGACAAATGTGTCTTTGGTTGCTGAAAATTCTTAAGAAATAATATTTCATTATCACATGTTCAATATTTGATTCTTGATGCAGTTGTCATACATACCATCTTCATTTACACATAAAGGTAAGTCCCCGTAAACGCCATGTTCCTGCCACGTGTAGGACTCATCACAGACCATCATTCCTTGCGCTGCAGTTTCCCCGGAAGTGCCCGTGTATCCTTTGTCACAGGAGTAGCTAATAACGTCAGTGTATTTCCTTCCACTTCCTCGGACGATGGTGACAACCATGTTGGAGTGTGAAGGCGGTATTGGGCAGGTGTTCCCTTAACACAGAAGGAGATCGCGGTGAATTAAAGGGAAGTATAACAGGCACAGGAAGTAAGGGAACCACAGTTGAATATTGTTCCGTCAGAAGTGTACGATCGGTTACGACAGTTTTGTTAATATCGTTTTGGAAGTACAGTATGATATTTTTTATCTTACTTCATAATTACCCATCCAACAGTTTTACCACACTGTCATATGTTCATATTTTTGCACGTTAACATTTGCTAAGACGTTTCTCGAAATGAGTAACAATAACTTGCCAACACTCACGTCTCCAGATGGTGCATGTGTCATGACAAGCCTCTTTCATTTTTTCGGAGTTGCTGTCACATTTTCCTTCCTGCGCCCACGTCAGACACTCGCAGTGTAGGTCCCCCGGGGCGTCTGTCAACAGTGAGGTTACACCACAAGAATAGGGCATGTAACATTCTATCCAACTTCCGGTCTCATTGCTTCAATTCTTTTGTGCTGACATCACCACTTCATAGCCAAGTCTGAGACCAGGATCACTGCTTCCCCCCCATAGTAAATTGATACGTCGTGATATAACTCATTGTGATATATCTCTTATTTGCTATTGTTAAGATAACTTACGTATTTGCTTTCATTCAATTCCGACCCGTGAAGATCCGGGGTAGCTAGAATAGGTCTTCAGCAACCCATATTTGCTGTAAAAGGTGACTATGCTTGTCGTTAAAGGCGACTAACGGGATCGGGTGGTCAGGCTCGCTGACATGGTTGATGCATGTCATCGATCTCAATTGCGTGGTTCGATGCTCATGATATTAATCACTGGATTGTCAGGTCCAGACTCGATTATTTACAGACCGCCGTCATACAGCTGGAATATTGTTGTGTGCGGCATTAAACAACAAACCAACCAATCATTCAATTCCAGACTTGAATGGTATGTATATTTAAAAAGCGTCAAAACCACTCCCAAAAGATCGCTCAAAGCGTAATATTTATAACCCGATCAATGGATAAGTGTGCTCTAAAATTGCATTATCATCTGCCTGGCAAATAAAGAATCCAAACTGCTTTATGAGGCGTCAGGGTGTTAGCTAACGTCTCATTCTATCGGGTACCCATTCACTGCTAGGTGACCAGCAGTAACATCAGTATGCTTAGAAAAGGTAAATAACTGTGAAGGATATAGGTTAGTTATATTGTTTAATTACTGCTGTATTAAATCCACTTTTCGAATTTTCCCTTTGCGTTATTTCAATATTTTGTAAGAGATTGGATGAGACGAACTTCTCGGACTCAAGTGTAATCAGAGCTGTAGTCTTCTGTGTGTTTGTGCATTTTTCGAAACGGAGTTTTTATCTAAAATACACCATTGTCTTACACGCAAAGTCATACGGATAAATGTTTCGGACATCCATGACCAAATATAGACCACAGAAGCATTTCCATAGCAAAAAGAGTGATAATACCACGTGAGCGTATCCTGCTGCACCGCTGGTAGTGTCACAAACACATACAAAGGCAAGTCAACTGTGAAATTATAGGCTAAATGGCGGTGAAAAGCATGACGGATAATGAAGTTTATAGTGAAGCGAATTAAAAATTATGTTCAACAACTTACCCCGACATTCCGACAATGTGTTGCATGATTGTGGGCATGCGCAGGACATCTCCTCCGGGACACGCAGACAATCGTAGTTCTTTGCATTGGTGGAACAATCCTTTTTCGTGTCAAGGCAGGTCCCTGAAAGAGCATGTCAAGCATGTATATACAGGACCCTTTGTCTGAGAAAGTGTATTCAGCGTAACAAGAGACGACAATTACATCGTCTCAACATTTCCATATACTTAGGTTTTACAATGTCATGGTTGTTTTACTTACTGTGACCAGGTCCAGATTGAGGGACTACCCCCTTGCATTGTTATGGCTTATGTTATACCGTGTTAAATGTTTTTGGTTTTTAGTTATCTTTCAGGCGGTAACTGAGAGCCTCTTTGTTGCATATAACACATGTTCTTAAATTGCAAACTGCACCGCATCATGATAGTATTATCACTCATGTTGGTTAAATGCTAACCCGTTGACGTGGGTGTTGGCAATACTATGGTGTTGGAAAAGGGCCATAATACCTAAAACATGGTCACAACTTACTCATTTTCAAATTTATCATTCTGCGTCATTTGCGTACATCTTAATTAAATTTCAGGTGTATAATAGCTTGTGTTGTATTTCCTCTGGGAGAAATTCACGAACTTGGTTCGTGCGGCATCGTAGTAAGATCAAAGGCTGAAGTCGTTGTCCAGCTGTGAAGACAGAATCTGCTTTCCTGACAGGTGAATTAAGTCTATGTCTGTTTAAAAGACTGGCGTCGTGGCGACTAATGTCCTGGGACCTGCGTAGATTTAATACCTCTGTATTTAGATCATGTCCGTTGTATATCAAAACAGACCTGGTTACTAGGCTTCACCCTATTTGTCAGATATCCAATTTTTCAGATAAGTTAAAATCACAAATGCCACGGTTGAGTTCTCCAACTATCTAAAGTGCCAAAAATCCGGACGTGTGAAGATTCGGGGTAGAATGGATCTTCAGCAACCCATGCCTGCTGTAATAGGCGACTATGCTTGTCGTAAGAGTCGACTAACGGGATCGGGTGGTCAGGCTCGCTGACTTGGTTAATGCATGTCATCGTATCCCAGTTGCGTGGATCGATGCTCATGAAGTCAATCACCGGATTGTCTGGTCCAGACTCGATTATTTACAGACCGCCGTCATATAGCTGGACTATTGCTGAGTGCGGCGTTAAACAACAAACCAACCAACCAATCCAACAATCCGAAGTGATAAAATGGATTAGTCACGATCTTTCCCCAATTGTTAGACACCTCATGAGAAAATAAAATATAAAAATTGATTTTCATAGACTTCAACAGTCACAGTGAGTGAATATGGTTTTACGCCGCTTTTAGCAATATTCCAGCAATATCAAGGCGGGGGACACCAGAAATGGGTTTCACACATTGTACCCATGTCGGGAATCGAACCCGGGTCTTCGGCGTGACGAGCGAACGCTTTAACCACTAGGCTACCCGACCGCCCCTCAACAGTCACATATATACTTCCACTGTGTACTGTATTACTGCATGAAAGTAAATCATGTAGCACTTTGAAACCGATTACTAGAGTCAGCCATATTTCTGTGCATGTCTTAATGACGCATCTCCAGTTTACACACATATTTTCAAGTTAATTCGGCCTCTTAATTTGGATGTTATTCGTTCGAAGTTCATTTTGCTTAAAACATATATATTCATATAAACAAAACACTTCAGAAATGTGTAATGTACAAAAAACTGTGACGCATTCACCGTGGTAATCAAGCTCGACATTAGCAAACTTTACATAATCAGACCGTAACGTACATCAGAACTAGTTCTGAGATTAATTCCAACTAAGATTCATGTGGCAATGACATTTGATGTTGATTTCTTATGTTCTTCACTTTTTCATAAATTAACATCGTACAAACTTCGCTGCTAAGTTTTACTTTTGCGCATAAACGGTAATTAACATAGGTTACAATTATAAAGCGAAAACCAATAAACCTATGAATTGAATTTGTGATGTGCCAGTATTGCCAATTTTGGTAAAATCGCCAAATATTGGTCTTGTTGCACAGGAGATGTTGAAAGTGTATGAGGACTCTCTTAGGACTGGTCCATTACGACAACAGGTTTGTTTGATTGTTTGTTTGTTGAGCAATATTCCAGCTATATGACGGGGTTAATCTAATATGTTTTGACAATCCATCTCCACTCCATTGTCTGACGACAGGGGTATCTGACAACTGGGGTTTCTGACAACTGGGCTGTCTGACAACTGGGTTATCTGACGAATGGGGTATCTGACAACTGGGGTATCTGACAACTGGGGTATCTGACAACTGGGGTGTCTGACAACTGGGGTATCTGACAACTGGGGTGTCTGACAACTGGGGTATCTGACAACTGGGGTGTCTGACAACTGGGGTATCTGACAACTGGGGTATCTGACGAATGGGGTATCTGACAACTGGGGTGTCTGACAACTGACAACTGGGGTTTCTGACAACTGGGCTGTCTGACAACTGGGTTATCTGACGAATGGGGTATCTGACAACTGGGTTATCTGACGAATGGGGTATCTGACAACTGGGGTGTCTGACAACTGGGGTATCTGACAACTGGGGTATCTGACGAATGGGGTATCTGACAACTGGGGTGTCTGACAACTGACAACTGGGCTGTCTGACAACTGGGTTATCTGACGAATGGGGTATCTGACAACTGGGTTATCTGACGAATGGGGTATCTGACGAATGGGGTATCTGACAACTGGGGTATCTGACAACTGGGGTATCTGACAACTGGGGTATCTGACAACTGGGGTATCTGACATACAGGGGTATCTGACAACTGGGGTATCTGACAACAGGGGTATCTGACAACAGGGGTATCTGACAACTGGGGTATCTGACAACTGGGGTATCTGACAACTGGGGTATCTGACAACAGGGGTATCTGACAACTGGGCTGTCTGACAACAGGGGTATCTGACCAATGGGGTATCTGACAACTGGGGTATCTGACAACTGGGGTATCTGACAACTGGGGTATCTGACAACTGGGGTATCTGACAACTGGGGTATCTGACGGCTGGGGTATCTAACAACTGGGGTATCTAACAACTGGGGTATCTGACGAATGGGGTATCTAACAACTGGGGTATCTAACAACTGGGGTATCTGACGAATGGGGTATCTGACAACTGGGGTATCTGACAACTGGGGTATCTGACAACTGGGGTATCTGACAACTGGGGTGTCTGACAACTGGGGTGTCTGACAACTGGGGTATCTGACAACTGGGGTATCTGACATACAGGGGTATCTGACAACTGGGGTATCTGACAACAGGGGTATCTGACAACAGGGGTATCTGACAACTGGGGTATCTGACAACTGGGGTATCTGACAACTGGGGTATCTGACAACAGGGGTATCTGACAACTGGGCTGTCTGACAACAGGGGTATCTGACCAATGGGGTATCTGACAACTGGGGTATCTGACAACTGGGGTATCTGACAACTGGGGTATCTGACCAATGGGGTATCTGACAACTGGGGTATCTGACAACTGGGGTATCTGACGGCTGGGGTATCTAACAACTGGGGTATCTAACAACTGGGGTATCTGACGAATGGGGTATCTAACAACTGGGGTATCTAACAACTGGGTTATCTGACGAATGGGGTATCTGACAATTGGGGTATCTGACAACTGGGGTATCTGACAACTGGGGTATCTGACAACTGGGGTGTCTGACAACTGGGGTGTCTGACAACTGGGGTATCTGACCAATGGGGTATCTGACAACTGGGATATCTGACAACTGGGTTATCTGACAACCGGGGTATCTGACAACTGGGGTGTCTGACAACTGGGGTGTCTGACAACTGGGGTGTCTGACAACTGGGGTATCTGACGAATGGGGTATCTGACAACTGGGGTATCTGACAACTGGGTTATCTGACAACCGGGGTATCTGACAACTGGGGTGTCTGACAACTGGGGTGTCTGACAACCGGGGTATCTGACAACTGGGGTGTCTGACAA